GTATGCGTGTGTTAGTCATGGGTGTATGCCAGTATGTGTGTTAGGTATATGTATGTGCGTGTTAGGTATATGTATGTGCGTGTTATGTGTATGTACGTATGTTAGTATGAATGTTCGGCATGTACGCATATGGGTTAGTATAAGTGTTAGGTATGTGTTAGTGTGAGTGTTGGATATGTGTATGCGTAGTAATATGTGTCAGGTATGTGTTTGCATGTGCAAGTATGTGTGTTAAGTAATGATGAGGGCGAGGTATGTTTGTGGGTTTGATAAACGTGTTAGGTATGTGTATGTGTGAAATATTCATGGTAGGTATGTAAACGAATGAGGGTAACGATGTAATACTAGTAAACTTCGCATACGTCTTTTGACCTTTATACATCTTCGTGAAGTGCTGCGTGTGTTGTCTTTTAAATGTTAGTGAAACCAGGTTTTTCCGTCGATTCTTACTTCAGGTCGTTAGATGTCAGTATTTATGGCCATCTCCGTGTCGGTAGTTAAAGCTGTTCCCGATTTCTTGAGTGACGTGGTAGTAGCAGATGACCTGCATATTAATCATCATTGCTTGTGTTCCATCTCTCTCGAACGTAGGCCTACACGAGTCTCATCGAGGTTTTCGTTCATTTCATAGTCATTCGCATGCCTGACATTCGTGAAGTTTTTTTTTCTTCGTGAATTTATTTCCAACAGCAGCCTAAAAAGAAAAAATGCTCAGCCGAGTATTGACAAGAGCGCCGTTCCAAAAGCCTTGTTAGGAGAAGGACTTGACTTCTGATGCCGATTTGCATCTCCAATCAAGCCAGACATCCGGCGCTGTGTCTGGCGTTCGGTGAAAGACGCAGGGTAGACAGGTGGCTGTAGTCGGAGCGGAGGGTTGTGACGTAGCTGATTATCCTTTGGTGGGGTCTGATGTAGCTGGTTAGCCATTTGACCTTGGCACCAAGGTAGCAAAGAGGCATTCTTGTTATTTCCTCTTTCCCGTTTTCGCTTACTCATTGCCTCTCCTGGGCTGCCTACCCCCTTTCTCCTCCTTCCTTTCTTCCCCTATCTTTTTTCCCCCAGCTTTGTTGTTTACCAACGTTATTCGGCATATCCCCGTTCGTAGTGATTGATCACACTTCTCTATATTATATTTGATTTGGCCATCAGATTATTTAGCGAGGAATATGAATATGAACTATTTAAAAAACTTAGTACGGAACACACTTTGATTAGTTCCATAAGTAATCGCCTCAAAACAATAGCGTAAGATATATTTCTCGGATGGAAGTGACATGGTCAGGCAATGACTCTCATCTCAGATTTCGCCTTCGACACACGCCCGTACTTTTGACCAGTTCCCCCGCCCTCCGAACGCTGTATCCTAGCCCGAGTCGTTGAAGCATGCCCCGTATCCTAGAGGAAGGCGCCGGCAGCTATTTCGAGCGGGTGTGGGTGGCTCTGCGGGCGCGGGAGGGAGGGGGCGTGGGGCGCAGCGGAACCAGGTGGGCTGCTTCTGTATTCCGTATTGCAGAGCCCGTTCGCCGCGCCGCTACTGTGGTGACTACATCCTGGGACACCGCTCGTTGACGCGCACTCGACGCGGGATAAGACATCGATTACACCTCTGGACCTCGTCGAGAAGGAGGTGGAAGAGAGTGCCAAAGCGGTGGCACTCCATCACGAAGATCCTCCGGGCCGCGGGACGAGTGGCGCGGCGTGTGTCGTCAGGGAGGTTGGAGGCGGGAGGCAGGATGTCAGATTTTTTTTTTTATGACTGGTCTTACATTTTTTTTCACATTTATCTCTTTATACCTACTGCCGTTACGTTTCCCCATGGCTGCTTAAATTTCATCATATTTGGGAGGACAGTGCAGACCAATATATATATATATATATATATATATATATATATATATATATATATATGTGTGTGTGTGTGTGTGTGTGTGTGTGTGTGTGTGTGTGTGTGTGTGTGTGTGTGTGTGTATGTATGTATGTATGTATATATGTGTATAAAAATGTATATATATATATGTATAAATATTAATATACATATATATATATGTCTATATATATGTATTTATGTATGTATATATATATATATATATATATATATATATATATATATATTCATACATACATACATATATATGCATAATACATATATATAAATAAATAAATAAGTAGATATATATATGTATGTATATTTATATATTTATGTGTGTACGTGTATGCGTGTCTATCTGTAGATGATTATGTCTGTGTTTTATCATCTCACGTTAACCAGCGAACATAGCTGCGTACTTCCAGGATAAGCGGACCCCAATATGGACATCATTGGGCCATAACGTACTGCAGTGTGGGCGTGGCTCCGGGTATTCCCATTTTCTAGATATAAGCTTTCCTCTGCGTCGGATTTAGTTTAGCGATTGTCAGAAGAGTCTTTCTTTTTTATTATTATTGTTTTACAAATAATTTTATTAAAGCTGAACTACAGTGACATTCTAGCCTCCGCATAACACATTTGTAAACACGGTTGGTTATCTTTGGAATACAAGCTTTTGGTCTTTCTGTTGCGAGTTTTGTGTTCAATTACCGTTAAAGAAAACGGAGAAATTATTCATTGCTTAACACTTGCATTTTCGTCGTGTCCGATTTCCTGGCGCCAGACTTGGTCAAAGATCTTTGTTATATCAGCAGAAAGAATCAGTGGAAAATATATTAATGCGTACTTTCAATTTCCAGTTTTGTGCGAAAGAAATAAGAACACGCACATCGAACAGACCGATAAGAAGAAAATGGATATAGGTTGTAGACGAGAGATCATGTCAGAGGAAGTTATCAATCTCCCGAAAGCGCTCCGTTTTCTGTCGCTCGGGTGCCGACGCAAAAGCCCGGAGAATCAGACATGATTTATAGTTCTGTATCGATTAGAACGGCTACAGTGTTAACTGTTATGTCAAGTGTTGCTAACATAATGGAAGAGGTACTCAGTATATAAGAACAATGTCCGGGAATGTTTAGATTTCAATTCTCGGTTCACGCTCATTGGTATGGGTGTAAACATGGAGCCACTATACTTTATTTATTTATTTATTTATTTTTATGTTTTGTTTTTGTTTTTGTTTTTTGAGGCGAAGATGAACTTAAGAGGCTGGCGATAAGTGGCCGAATGCTACATGTCTGAATAAGAGCGTTGCTTTTGAAAGAATTATTTTCAATCCGTCAGTTATCAAATGATTGCCATCACCAGTCTGTCGTCAGTCATCACCAACGACGAAAACGTGTAAGCAAACAATCAGTGAAAAAGCAAGGAAGAAAGAAGTGGCCAAACAAACAACGCATTCGCGTGGCCTGAAGCACTGTGATGTTCAGGGTTTACTAAATTCTACATTTATTTTTGTGACATTTTTTTTACCGCCATCGCTTGTTTAGAAGAACGCTGACGCTGGCTGAGATTGTTTTAGTTTGTCAGCATATCCTGTGTCCCGTGTTGTGGGAGAGGTCCCTGCAGGGGTTCAGCGAATTTTAGCTGAGGCAGAAAGTGGATTGTAAATACTAACCCCCGAAATGATTTATGCGTGCATTTTGATGCCTCGCGTCCAAGAGACTGTTATAACCTTCCCCTCTGTCTCTCTGTTAGTCTGTCTATCGATCGATCAATCCATCTATCTGTCTATCTATCTATCTATCAATTTATCTATTTATTTATATCCATCGATCCATCGATCTGTCTTTCTATCTATCTATGCATTTATATATGTATAATGTGTATATATACATATATATACATATGTATGTGTATGTGTATGTGTGTGTGTGTGTGTGTGTGTGTGTGTGTGTGTGTGTGTGTGTGTGTGTGTGTGTGTGTGTGTGTGTGTGTGTGTGTGTGATCTCATACTCATCTTTTTTTCTCATAGCACACTTGGCTATGACCACCCTATCTCATTAGAAATGCAAAAGGCAGCTGTCGTTTCCGAATAAAGGCATTCATGTGATCAGAGTTTCGTCAGGAGAGGTCGGGCTGTATGGACTCTACCCTTGCGCCTAAAACAGCCATGGTACGCGTGTATGTGGAATGAATCTTGGCATTGGTTCGTGAACTTGCTTCCTGTGGCCCGTGAGTGAAATTTGCAGTGATGACGTGACCCTAAATCCTATGATGTGGCCTAAAAATAAAGTCACTTACAAATGGAAGATGCATAGGCCTACATCTGTTGAATCTAGTTTATCAAGCGTGACTTTGCAAGCGTTTACCTTTTGCTTAACCGTTAATTTTCATACTTCAATAACCCAGTAATGTATTTTAAGACCTGCCCCGCACCCTGTTGATTCCCCACTCGCGTGCCCAAGGTTGAGAACCACTGGCATGGAGTGAGGGAAATGAAATGAGGGTGGGGGGTGAGGAAGTTGGGGGAGGGTGGGGGAGAGAAGGTGGAGGCAGAGGTTGGGGGTGGGCGATGGAGTTGAAGGTAGAGAGAGATACTAGAGAGAAGGCGGGAAGGGAAAGGGAGCGAGGAAGAAAGGAGGAAGGGAGGGAGAGATAAATGGAAGGAAAGATTAAGATGGTTAGGCAAGGGAGGAGGTACGGAGAGAGCAGGGAGGGAAGGGAAAGAGTGGATGAAGGGGGAATGGAGGTAGCAGGGAAAAGAGAGAGGGAGATAGCGGGAGAAGGAATAGGGAAAGGAGAGAGCAAGGAACGAAATGAAGAGAGAAGAGACCGAGATAAGGAATGGATGAAAGAGAGAACTAGGAAAGGAATGAGGTAAGGAAATAACGGGATAGGGAGAGAGAGAGAGAGAGAGAGAGAGAGAGAGAGAGAGAGAGAGAGAGAGAGAGAGAGAGAGAGAGAGAGAGAGAGAGAGAGAGAGAGAGAGCGAGAGAGAGAGAGCAAGCGAGGGGGAGGAGGGAGGAGGGAGGAAGAGAAAGGGAAAGAAGGGGGGGGAAAGAGTGAAGGAAGGAGAGAGGGAGGGAGGAGGGAAGAAGTGAATGTGGGAGGGAGAGAATGAGAAAACAAA